TGGCGGGGTAGGTGGGCGAATGCAATTACGAAACCATTTTCAGTTCGTCCATTCGTTTCGTCAGGTTGGCGCCTGGCCTAGAAACAAGGGGAAACATGGGACGGCACTGCTTGTTGTGGTCTGCACGTGGGGGGGAGGCCGAGCCGCGTTCACTGTAGAAGGCCATCCAGGTGCCTGTACATGGGGTGCAGCAAGCAGGGGTTTCGAGTTCGGGGGCAGCGTGTCCATCCGGTGCATGGCAAATTCGCGTGCACTGGTCGGGCATCATGTGTACTCGGATTCATCAGAGTCAGTCAAGCGCGAGCTACTTTAAGGACGTGGTACAGATCGGGGCGATCTGAGGCTGATTGCCTCGATCCTTAAATTCACAATTTCCGAGAAGGTCTAAGAGGTACTTTTTTGCGATCGGGGGCAATCAGTCGATCGAATTTAAGATCGCGATCGATTGCGAACGATTGCCTCGATTTGATGCAATCGTTTGCAATCGACTTCGATCGATGGTTCGGATATATAGGCGATTATTCGCAATTTGTAACAATTTTCGTTGAGGTTCGCTTCAGCTCGCTGCTGCAAAACATCTCGCGCAATAGGGCCAATTCGAGTGGCCGACGTAATGGGGCAACCTTGTAATTGCGCGACACAGATGTAGTCGTTTGGTCTCGCCAAATTTGAGCAGGAAAGGACATATTACTAGCCTGGAAGGCGCGTTTGAGGTTCCGTTTAGTTTCGACGAAGACACGAGGCTCAGATCGCGCGGCGCGGGAAGCGATCGAAGATTGCGTCAGATCGGGGCGATCACATCCAATCGCTCGCAATCTGATCCAAACTACCGATTCAGATCGGGACGATCTGCACCACGTCCTAATAGCGTGGGCCCAAACGGGTTTGATCGCCTCGATCAGCCGCGATCAATACTTTCCAGGAAGCCTGGAGGCCAAATTCAGGCAATCAGGGGCAATCAGCTGATCGCGATCAGCTGATCGCCCCAACTCAATCAGACCCAATTTACTCCCCGATCATAGTCGATTCTCTTCGATCACCCACGATCAATTGATCGTGGGTGATCGGGATAACAGCGATACTGACGAAAGTTACACTGTATTACAGAGATTCGTCAACCCCTCACAGAACACCCAGGAAAGTTACACTTACTTGGATACAGAAAGTTTCGCCAGAAGCCGTCTGGTCGCCAGTCTCGCTAAGATTGCCACGTAAATACCAGGTAATTAAGTCCCGCTTGCTGAGCAGCCAAGAAAAACCTTCTGAGAAAAACATTACTGATCTGGCGGCTCGAGAATTGCGATCACCAGCAACCCGATCAGATCCGCGTAGATCAGATCAATCGCGATCAAACCCGTTTAGGCTCACGCCCTAATAGCCTAAGCTCTGTTCCCCAGTCCACTCCAAAACACTAGAAAAGACAGAGAGCCATCTCACCTGAGTTTTCTCCTAGACGCCAGCGCCTAGGATATGTGTGCTTCTCATCCCGCACGCCAAGTCATCCCTGCACGTTCTCTCACCTGAACGGAGGGGGAGGCACCAGATTAACAGGGAGTTTCATCCTCTGTGGCCTGCATTTCAGAGTGATTTCTTGACAGCATTCTGCAAAAGCAGAAATGATGGATGGTACCGCCCTGCCAGCGGTTGTAAGATAGATTTAAATGCACTGCGATTTAGAGGTGAAGATATATAGAAAATACGTTGCTGGGTGAGCCTCCATTGACAGCGTGTTTTCTCGAGCTTTAGCTGGTACTTTCGGTGGTTTCAGAAGGAAGACTGAAGTGCGATACTGGAATGATGGAGAACAGAAACACCCTGGTTTTCTTGGCTATGCCACGCCTGACACACTGCAGTGGGAGGTTGATCGGGCTGGAAATCGGATCCCAGGGTCCCCCAAAACATACCGAGTTGAGGGCTAGCACGGTGTGACAGAATTGGCCATCGCCCACAGCAGAGTACAACATTTTCCAATGCCCACCACCCTGCATTCCACGTTGCACGTTCACCTCAGCCATTTTCACACGAAAGAGCTTTCCCCGAAACCAACACTTCGCACGACAGGAGAAGTGCATAAGCTACTAGGACCCGACTCCGCGTTATGTTTCGCTGCGCTGGAGAAGTGCATTTGTCGCTATACCGCCGCCAATGCCCGCTTTGTCTCTATCTATCGATTGTCTAGTTGAGTCTACACCCTTATTTTCAGTCTTCTCATCGGCGGAAGCAGTGGCTACAGTGTTTCGACGTAGCGGGCTGGTGAGATAACTCGGTTGCGGGCCAAGTCGCACGAGGCGACGAAACCAGACTCGGGCCGTAAAATTCCGTTAACGCTGAATAACTGTCTTAACCGTTTAGAAAACAGCAGTACCATTCTAGAACATATAGAACCCTGACTAAACGCCCTGGGTCAAACTGTCAGTATAACGCATGTGATAGGACCTTCTTTGGTCCGCTGCGGCTACACTAAGCGTCCCGGTCAGTATAACATATGCCAGTCTAACGAGAATGAGGGTGTAGACAAAACCGGGTCCACGTATCATAAGTAGCCCTTCCAGCCAGGTTTTTGCCGAATTAGGTCCCTCGGCGGCACGTGAAAAGGCGAGAGACTTGCATTGACTCATTATCTTACTCCAGATAAACCCGCATCGCTGTCAAGCTACCCAACAAGGCGAGGGAGTGTGGGGATGTGTCGCTAGCGGATCCACCTTGCCTTGCCGTGTATCGCTGGCAAATAGAAGCTCTATTTTGGAAGCAAATTATGCCTCGTTGGCTCATCCGATTTCACACAGTGCCAGAGAGTTATGCCGCGCTGGCTTACGCGTCGCACCTCTTCTTGATTTCACACAGAATCAGAAATTATGCTTCGCTGGCCGTGTGACGCCCGTCTCCGCGGGAGAGGGGTACTTTCCGCGCGACGCATAGAGGCGCACGTTCATTCCCCGCGCATCATCTCAAACTTCCACAGACTCGCGCTCGCTTTCGACCCCAGGAAGTGCGCACCGCCGATGCGCGGGCAAAGGTCAATTTCAGGGAAAGGGCCATCACAATCTTCCTGCCTTTTTGTGGTTGGGTTCGGCAATTTGTCGAACAGCAATTTCAGGCGTGACTCACCTGCAACACCAACGGAAATTTCAGGCACTCAATTTCGCCCCTCACGAAATTCTCCCGCCTGTTTCCAGACTGTTTTCCAGTTCGTCCGAGCCGCGATTGCACATCGCTTCCCAAAATAGCGGTTCGGAAATTCAGCGGTTCGTTTTAATTCGACATTGCAGTAAGCCTCGTTTTGTGGACTGGCAATTTAAATATGGATGATTTCAGGAACAACACGTAGACGATATTATTTGTTTCTACAATGCAAGAATGCAATTATTAGTTGTAACTACAGATTACACTATGTATTTGTTCATCATGTACACATCTGGCTCTTCCGGGTCATACATCTTCACCACATGCACGTGGCGCAAGATAGACGCGATTGGAATTATGTGAAATGCATTATCGTCTGCGGGCCATCGCAGACGCACGCACCCTGTTGTTGCGTCTGTGCCTGACGTCATGTAGTACCTGACGTATGCAAGGTTGTGTCGTACGTTGCGCCTCTTGCAATGGAAAAGGAGCATCAACATAGCGTATTCCACGCCACCTCCCTCGCACGAAATTGCAACGTTAGAGAACCAAGGTCTTTTGTAGCTGTCCGGTGTAGCCCTCACAAAATGGGCTTCTTTGGACGACTGAGTACCCGCATCAGCCGGGATTGCCATGGTTGGATGAGCCTGAAAGTATACATGTACAAGAATGGTGTGAGAAATTGTTGTACGGTAGTAATATTCGATTGCTGCACGAGAAAAAGCTTACCATGACCTTTTCGGCGCTCAAGCCATACTCGGCCAACGCCGTTTCGAAGTACTGATGTGCTATTGGCTGTTGGGCTGCCCACTTGTTGTAGAACTCGTTCATCTTGGTTGGCTCAGCTGGAGGCTTGACAAACACCGCGTACGCGTCTTGGGTAACTACCGGTGTGCCAAGGTTTGTTGCCTGCATGTATCCAATATTTTGTGTGTTAACCATTGCAGAATGGTGCTGCATATGTTGTGTCAATAAATGAGGACTTACTTGCAGCATTGATGTCTCGTGGGCGCACTCGGGTGTGTCCAGAGTTTGGTATACCGCCCTTTTCTCATGGTGTTCCATGATTTGGGCCTCGACGCCACGTTTGTTGGTACGTCGATAGATTCGCTTCACCAACGGCCCGTGCAGATGTTCAAACATTGCTGATGAGTACTCAGACACGTGGCCTGCTCTCCTTATCGCTCCAGGGTAGTGTGTCATGAGGTGTGTTTTGATCAAACACCACTCTGATTTTTGCTCAGGAAAGGCATCCTGAAGCTCTTTGACCAGCCTGTTGGAGTGGGATCAATTATAGACAGCACTTGGCATGGTGTGCATTTACAAAGGACCAGCAACATTGGGTGTAAGGTGTTATTGATCACACTTTTGAGTAATGTGTTCAGGATCCTTTGGGTCTTTTTACAGCACATAAACCGAAAAGAACAGTTAATCATGAAATGGAATGGTACCTATCAGTCAAACCCTCTAGAGTCGACAGATCTCTCTCCGTGTGGCCGGGTTGCTTGGCGCAGAATAGGTACCAATCCAGGTACGCTCGGATTGCGCTCAAGCACTTCTCCTCCAGCGTGTCTGAGACGATGAAGAGGAGCACCTGGGGAGGGTGTGGGTTAGTGCAAATCTTGTGTATGCATTGTCCACAATAAGGCATCAGCAACAAAACGTAAGCTCCATAGGCATAAACAAACACGTACCATGAGCACCGCACGATGCTCGTATGCCGCAATTCGGGCAGAGGACGTGAAGTAGTTGGCTGACGGAAAACGGACGTTAGTCATCCTCGTATCAGTGCGGATTTGAGCTAGTCGCCTAGAAATGGGAGTGCATGGGCGAAAGATAAGGCGGGCAGACGAAGGAACAGCAAGGGTGATTGGCACATGGGGGATAGATGTGGCAGGGGAGTGAGTGAAGCAGCAGGGGTGATGGGGATGGGGCGAGCGAAAAACAGCAAGGGTGATTGGCAGATGGGGGATGGATGTGGCAGGGGAGTGAGTGAATCAGCAGGGGTGATGGGGATGGGGCGAGAAAAAAACAGCAAGGGTGATTGGCAGATGGGGGATGTATGTGGCAGGGGAGTGAGTGAAGCAGCAGGGGTGATGGGGATGGGGCGAGCGAAAAACAGCAAGGGTGATTGGCAGATGGGGGATGCATGTGGCAGGGGAGTGAGTGTAGCAGCAGGGGTGATGGGGATGGGGCGAGCGAAAAACAGCAAGGGTGATTGGCAGATGGGGGATGTATGTGGCAGGGGAGTGAGTGAAGCAGCAGGGGTGATGGGGATGGGGCGAGTGAAAAAAGCATGGTGGGAAATGGACAGAGTTTAGGAAGCAGTAGGGTGTGACAGAATAAGTCATGTGGATGGGATGCTGATAGGAGAAGCAGATTTGGAAGGGGACTTACGCGTCGAACAAGGCGAGGCTCCGGTCGTATGATGCACGAACCGCAGCCACGATGTGGTGTAGAATGCCCAGGTCGGACTGGTGCATTATGTCAGGCATGATCGCTTGGTACGGATTCGCCCATGGCGCGCCAGGCACATCCCAGTGCCAGAGTGCGCACTGCAAACAAATCGCTCAACATAGTCGATTTTAGAAGTAGATAGTTTCAAGAGCGCTAATATAATTAAGCATGTATGCACATACCTCAATGCCGAACGTGGAAAACTGGGCCGCAGCCGTCTTTTCAGTTCCCAACTTGTCCCCTGCATGCTCCACGATCCAGCGTTGTTGGTCGACTGTCCTAGGCGTGTTCTCAGCAGTGACACAGTCAAGATGCTCCTGAAAGGGGGTGCAAGGATATCAACCATAGTTGTGGCGGTGCAAATGAGAGCGCAATGGCTGTGGGGGTGCAAAGGTGAAACCTATGGCAGCGGGGGCGCAAGAATGGCAAGTATGGTAGTGGGGGCGCAAGTAAGGCGGTCGGAATAGTGTCTTACCTTCTCAGCATAGCAGATACTGCAAGGACGAGCAGTGCCACCAGATAAGGTGCAGGTGACTTTCCCACTTTCGGGGTAATCACAGACCCATGTGTAAAGCATGGGTCTGACCACATGCTCCACTCCATTGGGGTCCTTGAGCAAGAAGCCACTGTCATGGAAATGCATGTTGTGGAACGAAAGGGGTTCGGTCATCATAATCACACGCTGATACATGGGGAATCTGCTTTGTTAAGAAATATATATATATAGCAAAAAAACAAGAGCAATGGGTTTTGCAAGAATGGCAAACATGGCAAGGGGGGGACACGCTTCAGTTACCACGTCATAATTGGGCGCCGGAATGGCAGAGTGGGAGCCAGTGGGTAGACATTTTAGTGTAACAATAATTATTAAACAATGATCACCTTTCTCGCCCCGCAAGGAGCTTTTCAAGCATGGTCAATGCGGCTTGTTGGAAAAGGGCAGTTTTCTGACCGGGTGACATGGTAGTGGGGGGGATAGGGAGAGTTCCGAGCAGACAGTGCCCAGACGATGCCCAGCGCTTGCCCTGCCGGATGTTCCCCAATGTCATCATAACAGGCCAAGCCAATTTGCGCCCGTTTTCACTCAGGTGCGTCACGTCGCTGTAGAGCATAATGGCCGCAACTACCTCACCTTCTCCCACATGATCCTGCAATTGCATATAGGGTCGAATAGAGGGGGATTGTCAGCCTCCAACCAAAAAGCAGGCGAAAGCAGTTGAGTAACGCAAGGATGAGGTTGGGTTGAGATGGAAGGACAGGCCTAGATTACACGAGTGTAGGCAATAGCAGGCGAGTAATAGGATTGTCAGGTGAGAGGTGTGTGTGAGAATGGAGTATATGGCTGGAATACACAAGGCATGGAATCAAGAGCATGTGAGTGACGCAAGTATGAGGTGACAGTGTGCTACAAGGGTAATGTTTGACTAGACAAGACACAGAGAGGTGACTTGCAGGTGAGGAAATATGACAGGCATGGAATCAACAAGGCACGTAGGCAAGAACAGGTGAATAACGATGTCATGAGGTGTTAGTTGCAGGTGCGCAGATGCGGCATACCTGGGCATTATGCCACCATGTGCCCGTCTCTGGGGTGGAGTAGCGTCGCTGGCCGGTTTCAGGGTCAGTGTCCATGCGTGGCTTCAGCACAAAGCCGGGTGCATTGGCTGGGTCTCCAAACATGTCCGCCAAGGCCTGCGATTACATGGCGCATAGGGGCGGAACGGAAGAATAGATGAGCAGCAGAGGTCCCGAATAGCAGAGGAGTGGAACAGCAAAGGAGCGGAACAGCAGAGGAGCGGAACAGCAGAGGAGCGGAACAGCAGAGGAGCGGAACAGCAGAGGAGCAGAACAGCAGAGGAGCGGAACAGCAGAGGAGCGGAACAGCAGAGGAGTGGAACAGGAGAGGAGCGGAACAGGAGAGGAGCGGAACAGGAGAGGAGCGGAACAGGAGAGGAGCGGAACATGAGAGGAGCGGAACAGGAGAGGAGCGGAACAGGAGAGGAGCGGAACAGGAGAGGAGCGGAACAGAAGAGGAGCGGAACAGGAGAGGAGCGGAACAGGAGAGGAGCGGAACAGGAGAGGAGCGGAACATGAGAGGAGCGGAACAGGAGAGGAGCGGAACAGGAGAGGAGCGGAACAGAAGAGGAGCGGAACAGGAGAGGAGCGGAACAGCAGAGGAGCGGAACAAGAGAGGATTGGAACAGCAGGAGATTGGAAATGTAGATGAGCAGAACAGCAGAGGAGCGGAGCAACATCGAGATGGGCATGCAAGGGGGAAGTCACCTGCGCCGGATCTCGGAAAAACAACGTCTGCTCATCAAAGCCATCCACTTCGAAGGTTGCCACGCTCCACCCACGGCCCAGGCCAGCGAGCTCTTCGATTTCGAAGCGCTTGAGCTCCCGGCAGTTTTTGAACTTCGCCAACACCAGCTCCGCGAGCTCTGGATACATCAACAGCTGCAGTATCCCATTAATATCGACTTCCGCCATGCCCATCTTACCATTGGCGAGGCGGACCAGATGGATGAAGCGCAATACTAAAGGATCCGTGGGGAATGGGGCCTGGGACTGTGCAACAACGGAAATCGGAGGTGCTGAAGCATTGCTGGTCGCAGTGTTGTCCTCGCCATTCAGATCTTCGAATGAAAGCGGTTGCGGGTTAGACCCGCAAGCAGAGGTGTCAGAGCTGCTCGCGTCGGATCCAATAGCCGAGGTCGCTGGCTCGTCCGCGTCACTAGGCTCCAGACGTGGCTCGGTATTGGTGTTGGACGGAGGCGGAGCATCCGCCACCATGAAGACATATTGCTCAGCCACCGTTTCAGTTGCAGCAGTTCCAGCGGCATACTTTAAGCGACAGCTGGACCTCCCCTTGTGCTGTCCAAAAGCCTTAGCGTCCTTGAACTGGTTGGTGCAAAACCGGCACGAAATCCACTCATGGCGTGTCATGACTACAGGTGGTGACGAAATCGCTATGTGTCGGACATTAGGCGAGAGGTTTGACGATATGACTGGAGTTATGGAGCTTTGTACAAGGCGTTGCCAGTAGTGGTGGATAGATCAGTATGTATTAGAAAAGGTGAAAAGAAAACCAGAGGTGACGCGACAGCAGTTTGAACTGGCAAAGTTTTGAAAAACGAGCGCAAACGCGATGCCGAGATCTAGGACACGTATCTGATACTAGAGTGTTGTCGAGGTGGAGGCAAAGAGGTCGAGGAGCAGTGTAGTGCAGTGAACTTAGTCTAAACATTATCTTGGTATAAATCATGCACAAAACAAATGTCCAAACCAGAAAGGGTACTATATTATTACGAAATGGATTGGAGAACTGTACGCTCAAGCAAAAGATAACCATTCTACAAGAGGGATCAGACCAGTCCCAGCTCAGGAATGCCTTGTTGCTTGTATCATTTTTATAACTTGACAGAATTCACCGGTAGTGCTCACTGGTTTTCTGAACAGAGTGTGCTCTTGTTTTCCGATCTGTCTGAAACATGTAGGGATGGTTCAAAGCTATAATATGGTCTCAGGTACCAAAAATCAGACCAATCCCACCTCAGGAAGGCCTTGATGCTTGTCTCCGTTTTTCTGCCTGAGTGAATTCACCCCATGTGCTCACTGGTTTTGTGAACAGAGTGTGCTCTGGTTGTCCAATCAGTCTGAGACTTGTAGGGGTGGTTCAAAGGTATCATATTGTCTCAGGTTCCAAGAATCGTACCAATCCCAGCTCAGGAAGGCCTTGATGCATGTCTCAGTTTTCTGCCTGAGTGAATTCACCCCATGTGCTCACTGGTTTTGTGAACAGAGTGTGCTCTGGTTGTCCAATCAGTCTGAGACTTGTAAGGATGGTTCAAAGGTATCATATTGTCTCAGGTTCCAAGAATCATACCAATCCCAGCTCAGGAAGGCCTTGATGCATGTCTCAGTTTTTCTGCCTGAGTGAATTCACCCCATGTGCTCACTGGTTTTGTGAACAGAGTGTGCTCTGGTTGTCCAATCAGTCTGAGACTTGTAAGGATGGTTCAAAGGTATCATATTGTCTCAGGTTCCAAAAATCAGACCAATCCCACCTCAGGAAGGCCTTGATGCTTGTCTCCGTTTTTCTGCCTGAGTGAATTCACCCCATGTGCTCACTGGTTTTGTGAACAGAGTGTGCTCTGGTTGTCCAATCAGTCTGAGACTTGTAAGGATGGTTCAAAGGTATCATATTGTCTCAGGTTCCAAGAATCATACCAATCCCAGCTCAGGAAGGCCTTGATGCATGTCTCTGTTTTTCTGCCTGAGTGAATTCACCCCATGTGCTCACTGGTTTTGTGAACAGAGTGTGCTCTGGTTGTCCAATCAGTCTGAGACTTGTAAGGATGGTTCAAAGGTATCATATTGTCTCAGGTTCCAAGAATCATACCAATCCCAGCTCAGGAAGGCCTTGATGCATGTCTCAGTTTTTCTGCCTGAGTGAATTCACCCCATGTGCTCACTGGTTTTGTGAACAGAGTGTGCTCTGGTTGTCCAATCAGTCTGAGACTTGTAAGGATGGTTCAAAGGTATCATATTGTCTCAGGTTCCAAGAATCATACCAATCCCAGCTCAGGAAGGCCTTGATGCATGTCTCTGTTTTTCTGCCTGAGTGAATTCACCCCATGTGCTCACTGGTTTTGTGAACAGAGTGTGCTCTGGTTGTCCAATCAGTCTGAGACTTGTAAGGATGGTTCAAAGGTATCATATTGCCTCAGGTTCCAAAAATCAGACCAATCCCACCTCAGAAAGGCCTTGATGCTTGTCTCCGTTTTTCTGCCTGAGTGAATTCACCCCATGTGCTCACTGGTTTTGTGAACAGAGTGTGCTCTGTTTGTCCAATCAGTCTGAGACTTGTAGGGATGGTTCAAAGGTATCATACTGTCTCAGGTTCCAAGAATCATACCAATCCCAGCTCAGGAAGGCCTTGATGCATGTCTCAGTTTTTCTGCCTGAGTGAATTCACCCCATGTGCTCACTGGATTTGTGAACAGAGTGTGCTCTGGTTGTCCAATCAGTCTGAGACTTGTAGGGATGGTTCAAAGGTATCATATTGTCTCAGGTTCCAAGAATCATACCAATCCCAGCTCAGGAAGGCCTTGATGCATGTCTCTGTTTTTCTGCCTGACAGCTTTTGTGAACATGCCTTGACGCTTGCCTTCACGTCACTGCTCTGAAAGCTCTGAGATTGGTATGAGGAGCTCATGGCATATGGGGAGAGAGTTGGTTAAGATATCAGGCCCATCCAATCACTCTAGCATCGTAACTCAAGCCGGTGCATCAAATGCAATGGGGCTGTTTTTTCAACCATGACACTTGCCTTGACGCTTGCCTTCACGCCACTGTGTTCCGCTTCTCTGACGGCTCTGAGATTGGTGTGAGGAGCTCATGGCATATGGGGAGAGAGTTGGTTAAGATATCAGGCCCATCCAATCACTCTAGCATTGTAACTCAAGCCGGTGCATCAAATGCAATGGGGCTGTTTTTCCAACCATGACACTTGCCTTGACGCTTGCCTTCACGCCACTGTGTTCCGCTTCTCTGACGGCTCTGAGATTGGTGTGAGGAGCTCATGGCATATGGGGAGAGAGTTGGTTAAGATATCAGGCCCATCCAATCACTCTAGCATTGTAACTCAAGCCGGTGCATCAAATGCAATGGGGCTGTTTTTCCAACCATGACACTTGCCTTGACGCTTGCCTTCACGCCACTGTGTTCCGCTTCTCTGACGGCTCTGAGATTGGCGTGAGGAGCTCATGGCATATGGGGAGAGAGTTGGTTAAGATATAAGGCCCATCCAATCACTCTAGCATTGTACGGTAACTCAAGCCGGTGCATCAAATGCAATGGGGCTGTTTTTTCAACCATGACACTTGCCTTGACGCTTGCCTTCACGCCACTGTGTTCCGCTTCTCTGACGGCTCTGAGATTGGTATGAGGAGCTCATGGCATATGGGGAGAGAGTTGATTAAGATATCAGGCCCATCCAATCACTCTAGCATTGTAACTCAAGCCGGTGCATCAAATGCCATGGGGCTGTTTTTTCAACCATGACACTTGCCTTGACGCTTGCCTTCACGCCACTGTGTTCCGCTTCTCTGAACGCTCTGAGGTTTGTATGAGGAGCTCATTGCATATGGGGAGTGAGTTGGTTAAGAGATCAGGCCCATCCAATCACGCTTGCATTGTTTATTGGTATATATGATGATGGCCTGTGAAACAACCAAAATTATGTTGACAGCCTGGCACCTTACTTGGTCAAAGAGGCAGCACATGGTTCCATTGATTGTAAACACAAAAGATGGAGATGACACAAACTGTGATGGCGAGAGAATGAGAGGTTGAGTGCTAGAAGCTTCGTTGGTATAGCTTGTTACGGCGGTTCTTGTAAAATTCAGGGAAATAAGCTTTTCTTTACAAAACAATAGGGGAGGAATAGGGGAAATAGTAGAGACACTTGAATGAAGATTTATACCTCAACCAAAGTGTTTATGAGCCCTAAAAGACATCGAAATATGAGCGCGTTAGGAGACATAAACCAATCCCTTGTGCATATTTGTGCATGATTCAGCAGTATTAATGCAATGTATAGCTATGACTATCCTAAAACAAACACACACGTACAATTTCCAACACTTGACCAAATCTGTGGCTTTCAGTATGGCATCTTTGAGAGAGACCTGCTGTAATGTAAACTACATAAGCCTACCATTTTGTACATCTAGATTTAGGGTTGTTACTGATCTTCAAAGCGACCCCCCTATCTACGGCCGTCATCACCGGTCACTGTAGATTTCAGGGACCAATGGAGGCCTTTCCTTTTTGTACAGCGACACTCACCAGAAAGCGAGCCATTAGCAAGAACATGTGCATGCACTTAGGGCGAGTGGCCTTGAGGTCGTAGTTTGGCCAAATTTCGCACTTCTAGAGTGGTTGTTCACGGTCAGATGTATTTAAGAGACGTTTTGCCACGGTAGAACGCGGTAATAGGGTCGACCTTAGACATTTTTTGCCATAAGACATGCGTCCTTACAATCACAAGCGCTGCACGGTTCTTCACTTCGAACCACTTACATCCTACCGCTTGAGAGGGAGTATGCGTCGCGTCGTTTGTGAGAGGAACAGCGTCTGGAGTCGCGACATGACGGACCCCACCAGCAGATGTGCAGCATGGGTGTTTCTCTCTTTTAGTCTTACCGTGCGCACGTCCAGTGCAGGATGTCCAGTGCAACCCTCTTTGGTCGCCTTCGTTTTCTGCAGATGGCTATCGCGCCTCTGTCTGATGCACGTAACTTGCCTTACCACCGATTGTCAACCTTCCGACGGTGCTATACGTGTCTCTCGTGGCGGCTTCATGTCTCCCACGTCCCTCGTATTCGTCGATCTGCGAGCCGTGGTGGTCGGGATGCTGTCACGCCGGGCACGATACGAGCGTAGCGCACGAATCTTGTTCGACGGCTACTCCGATACCTGGCTACCAAGCGTCGAGGTGCGAAGAGCGGTGCACCATGATCTGTTTATAAGCGATGTTTTGGTTCGAGGTTGTAGTACTTGCTCAAAACTGTGACTACTAACAAACGCCTTCACTTACAGCCCTTTGCATCTCAGCAATGTCGCAGCCAACCATCTCCCAAGGCCGTAAGGGTGAGCAGGCGGGAGAGCAGGCGAACGCAAAAAAAGGCGGTGGGCGTCGAAAGCGAGGTGGTAAGAAAGCACAATGCGCCACCGAGGAACGGCGCAAGCTCCCAGATGGCTTCACCGCGGACATTCTAGGTGAGAATGACGACGGTACGGAAACGTCCGCCGATCCGAACGGCTATGCGGTCGATAATGTGGCGCATGGTGAACAGGCGGTGTTTGGTGTGGCGAATGATGACGGTTCATATCGCGACGAGACGTATGGCGAGAAGGTGGTTGGTGAAGCGGACAAAGGCGAAGCGGACGGAGGCGAAGCGGACGAAGGGGAGGCGGACGAAGGGGAAGCGGACGAAGGGGAAGCGGACGACGGCGAAGCGGACGAAGGCGAATCGGACGAAGGCGAAGCGGACGAAAGCGAAGCGGACGAAGGGGAAGCGGACGAAGGCGAAGCGGACGAAGGCGAGGAGGGGGAAGGCGAGGAGGGGGAAGGTGAAGGGGCGGAAGGCGGAGAGGCAGAAGGCGTAGGAGCTGTTGGCGAGGAGGCCGAAGGCGAAGGGGCAGAAGGTGGGGAGTGGGATGGCGAAGAGGGGGAAGGCGAAGATGGGGAAGGCGAGGAGGGGGAAGGCGAGGAGGGGGAAGGCGAAGAGGGGGAAGGCGAGGAGGTGGAAGGCGAAGAGGGGGAAGGCGAGGAGGGGGAAGGCGAAGAGGGGGAAGGCAAAGAGGGGGAAGGCGAAGAGGGGGAAGGCGAAGAGGGGGAAGGCGAAGAGGGGGAAGGCGAAGAGGGGGAAAGCATAGGGGCTGTAGATGGGGCCGGAGAGGAGGTGGAAGGCGAGCAGGTGGAAGGAGAGGAGGCGGATGGGGTCCAGGCAGATGGCGACAATGTGGGCGAAGGCTTGTCCGATTACTCCAATTTTAGTGCAGAGGAGAGAACTAATGGGCGGCGGACACGCGTACAAGCACTCAGCCGCGGGTCGACGCTGGATGAGGATGAAGAAGCTGCACGAGTGGTGAAGAAAGGGCGGTTTATGATTCTGGGGGCCGCACCAGATGATACGCAACAGTGCGGTAATGGGCGTGGCGGAGAAGCAAAGGATAAACAAGGAGGGCAGACCGTGAAAGGGGCATTGGCGGCGGCGAAGCCACCCACGAAGCGCAGGAGTAAGAAGGCTAGCACTAAACCCCTTCCAAAGGGTAAAGGTGAAGCAATGGAGGGGAAGACAAAGACAAAACCTAAGCCCAAAAAGCGTAAGTCATCCACTTTTTGCCCTCCAGCCCTATAACCCTTCGTTCTGACCCGCCTTGCTTTTTCCCATCCGTCTCTGTCAATACTCCCGTTGTCCCATGAATATTCCCAACTAGCTTCCCTAAACCGTCCTGACCTGTCCCCTCATGCGCTAACCCATCCTGACCTATCCCATCTTGCTCTCACCCTACACCAATCAGCGGTGAAGAATTCTGGTGTGGGTCCGCCAACCACCATCGAGCGATTCAACCTTGGGGGGGGAGGGGGGAAGCTGCCCCAGCTACAGGTCACCCAGCGGGCAACTACTAGTGCGATGCAAGTGGGAGCAGCAGCAGCTCCTGTGGGTATGACTGTTGCGAGGGTGGGAGGAGCAGCGTCAACAGGAGGGAGGGTGGGAGCAGCAGCAGCATCAACTGGGGTGAGGGTGGGAGCAGCAGCAGCGTCAACGGGAGGGAGGGTGGGAGCAGCACCAGCATCAACTGGGGTGAGGGTGGGAGGAGCAGCAGCGGCATCTACTGGAGGGAGGGTGGGAGCAGCAGCGGCATCGACTGGAGGGAGGGTGGGAGGAGCAGCGGCATCGACTGGAGGGAGGGTGGGAGGAGCAGCAGCATCGACTGGAGGGAGGGTGGGAGGAGCAGCGGCATCGACTGGAGGGAGGGTGGGAGGAGCAGCGGCATCGACTGGAGGGAGGGTGGGAGCAGCAGCGGCATCGACTGGAGGGAGGGTGGGAGGAGCAGCGACATCGACTGAAGGGAGGGTGGGAGCAGCAGCAGCATCGACTGGAGGGAGGGTGGGAGCAACAGCAGTGTCAACGGGAGGGAGGGTGGGAGCAGCAGCAGCATCAACTGGGGTGAGGGTGGGAGGAGGAGCAGCGGCATCGACTGGAGGGAGGGTGGGAGGAGCAGCGGCATCGACTGGAGGGAGGGTGGGAGGAGCAGCGGCATCGACTGGAGGGAGGGTGGGAGCAGCAGCAGCATCTACTGGAGTTTTCAGGCCCAGGGGTACCACTACTGTAAGGACGCTGCCTCCAGGGCCCACGGCTTTGGCTGCCGTATCAACCAGGGTGGCGCAGACGCAGTGGGTATCACGAGCGGAGTTTGCGGCGCTTAGGAAGGAGATGCTCCAACAGTTTGAGAGCCTCAGGGCTCAAGGAGTCGCGGTTCCTGCTCAAGGACTTGCGTCGCAGGGCAGCGACGCAACAACAGGCGTTCCTCGCCCTCCAAGTCGGAGTGCCGGACAAATCGCTCTGGAAATGGTGATCGTCGATGCTGGAGACTGGAAGGTGCCTATAAACCCTTGTTGCCCTTTCCTCTCATGCTCTATTCCCTCATGCAGTCTTCCCACCAGCTCTGTTCCCCGTTGATTTGCCACTCCTGCTCTGTCCCTTCCTGTGCGCTCCTCTCCTGCTCTGTCCCCTCCAGTGCTCTCCCTTCCTGCCTTGTCTCGCTGCTCCTCTGCACTCACCATGCCATGCCCTGTAGTGGTCTCCACCACGTACATTTTGTGTTGCCCCACCCTTCCATCTACTCATACATTCTTTTCCTGGCAGGCGAAGTGCCGGAGTGTCATCACCGAGTTCTTCTGGCTGAATGACGCTCGTCACATCCAGATGTATCCTTCGAGTGAAGAGGCGATGGCTGGGTTATCTACTTATCTGTCCCCTGATACCATGCCCCACTTGCAACTGCTGTGGAAACAACAATGCCCAACAACAAAGGGGGCATTCTATACAGCATGCAGCAATACCCGGTGCGCAATTGGCAAAATACTCCGTCGATTGGTTCTAACTGCATTGGGGCGGGAGAAAAACAAGGGGAAGGTGATGTCCCTCCCGGCGGAGTTGGATCGTCCGGCGGTGTATCGGAACGATGCCGAACTGGTCCGGGACAACATGACTGGTGAGCTCCTAACCCTTGCTCTCTCCCCCCATCCTCTGTCACATGCTCTCTCCCCCCCTCCTCTGTCACATGCTCTCTCCCCCCCTCCTCTGTCACATGCTCTCTCCCCCCCTCCTCTGTCACATGCTCTCTCCCCCCCTCCTCTGTCACATGCTCTCTTCCCCCCTCCTCCGTCACATGCTCTCTCCCCCCCTTCTCTGTCACATGCTCTCTCCCCCCCTCCTCTGTCACATGCTCTCTCCCCTCCTCTGTGACATGCTCTCTCCCTTCCTTCTGTCACGTGCTCTGTCCCCTCCTCTGTCACATGCTCTGTCCCCTCCTCTGTCACATGCTCTGTCCCCTCCTCTGTCACATGCTCTGTCCCCTCCTCTGTCACATTCTGTCCCCTCCTCTGTCACATTCTGTCCCCTCCTCTGTCACATTCTGTCCCCTCCTCTGTCACATTCTGTCCCCTCCTCTGTCACATTCTGTCCCCTCCTCTGTCACATTCTGTCCCCTCCTCTGTCACATTCTGTCCCCTCCTCTGTCACATTCTGTCCCCTCCTCTATCACATGCTCTGTCCCCTCCTCTGTCACATGCTCTGTCCCCTCCTCTGTCACATGCTCTGTCCCCTCCTGCTCTGACCACTCCCGTGCTCTCCCCTCCTTCTCTGTCCCATCCCGTGCTTTTACCTCCTGATCTGTCCTTCCCTTGCTCTCCCCTCCTGCTCTGTCCCCTCCTCTGTCACATGCTCTGTCCCCTCCTCTGTCACATGCTCTGTCCCCTCCTCTGTCACATGCTCTGTCCCCTCCTCTGTCACATTCTGTCCCCTCCTCTGTCACATTCTGTCCCCTCCTCTGTCACATTCTGTCCCCTCCTCTGTCACATTCTGTCCCCTCCTCTGTCACATGCTCTGTCCCCTCCTCTGTCACATGCTCTGTCCCCTCCTCTGTCACATGCTCTGTCCCCTCCTCTGTCACATGCTCTGTCCCCTCCTGCTCTGACCACTCCCGTGCTCTCCCCTCCTGCTCTGTCCCATCCCGTGCTTTTACCTCCTGATCTGTCCTTCCCTTGCTCTCCCCTCCTGCTCTGTCCCCTCCCTTGCTCTCCCCTCATGCTCTGTCTCCTCCCATGCTCTCCCCTCCTGCGCTGTCCCTTCCTGTGCTCTCACCTCCTCTATCACATGCTCTGTCCCCTTCTCTGTCCCCTCGTCTGTCACATGCTCTGGCAGATGAGTGGGGGCTGAAATGGCATGTTGACCAGATCACGCAGCGCCCATTCTCCACGAAATTGTTTGCGATCGCCATGAGCAAGGCGTTTCGAAGGCGCCGCGTCGATGTCACAGCGTGGAAGACACGCATGGTGGCATTCGCCTTGTTTTCAGTAAGTGTTTTTTCATTATATCCAACGGTTAGGTTTCAATATCAACATGTTAATGCTGTTGCGCCTTGCTCCTGTGTTCAGCTCGAGAACCCACTGTTGGAGGCAGCAGGGGATGGCAAGCTGGGCACGGACCAGCGTGAAAACCGCAGGTTGTACGAGCTAACGTGCATCAGGGTTCGACGTTGGGTGGAGCACTCTGTGAATGTGCTGGGCGTCACGCATGATGTGACAACAAATGCGTGGGTGTTCGAAAACGGCGTCCGTATTGATGCGTCGGATTACCCTGCACTATTGCCTGTTTGAATTTCTGGTTAGTAAGAATGGTAATAAATGCACCGATCCTTAAAGCAGTAATATGGGCAATAATAATTTCTGTGTTCTGATATTAATAATTATATGGGCAGAACAATTATAACAGAAACAGAAACAGTAATAACAGCTGAACTATTATATGCAAAACAATAAAAAACAATTGTAAACCGAATTGAGAAATCAGCACAATACAAATATTTATATCGAACACAGATTTAATAGAAACTACTATACAAAAAACGAATGGTGTACATTATTACATTTATTGGCCCCGAGGCGCGATTCCGACGCGGAATGTGGCGTTACCATCACACCCATTTCGGTCAGTTACCAGCTGGAGCGCAGGCTGAACCGAACCCCTGAACCCATCCTATGATAGGCCTGCAATCCACGAGAAAACCAGTCACGTTAGTGCCATGTGTTCAGGCGGAAATCGACCCTGGTTTTCAGTCAGATTTCCGCCGCGAGTCTTGAACTCTGGCTGGAAACCAGCTGAAATCCAGACCGGAAGATTGTGATGGGGCCCTGCCAACGGATCGACGCGCGTCCCGAAAGATAAGCTTTCCCGCCGAGGATAAGCTCCCCGCGGAGGATAAGGATAAGCTCTCCCCGGGGGATATGCTCTTTCCAAGCTACGCTGAACACCAAGTAGTCGCTAAGTCAAGCTTGACTTTCCCGCGCTGCTGCTTGGGCGAGGGGGAAGAGCTCTAGTGGGGGGAAAAGGTCCCCATGGGAGCAGGAAGGGGAAGGGGAGGGTAGAGGGGGGAAGAAAGGGGAGGGGGCGAGAGTTCTCATAGTATATAAGCTCGCGCTTGGGGCTCAATCCGCATCATACTATCGCCTTCGCTGCTCGCGACTCACCCCTTTTTGGTTCCTGCTTACCTATCCTGCTTAGCTATCTACCACTAGCATCATCAGGCGCGGTGCTCCCCAGCCAATCATCAGGCTCCACCGCCAAGAGACTGCCGCCTGGTCGCCATCAGTTTCGTCAGCGTCAATCCGCCGCCGCCGAGAGAGTCCACCTGCTCGTCATCAGTTTCACCAGCGTCAATTGCGGCACCAGCGTCAATTGCGGCACCGGCATCGTTACCAGCGTCAATTGCGGCACCGGCATCGTTACCAGCGTCAATTGCGGCACCAGCATTGTCACCAGCGTCACCAGACTCACCAGAGTCGACATCAGCAGCACCAGCATCATGGGCTCCCGTGGACTCGTGCTCGCGGCACTGGCTGCTCTTGTGCTCTCCATCGCGAAATTCTGAGTGTGCACAAAATGTACACGGTAGCTTTCCCTGCGGGAAAACTTCGGAAAAGCTTCGAAAAGCTTCGGCGCTCACATTCACAGCTGGGTGGCCAAAGTGACTTCAGTGTGACAAATGGCCATCACTATGACGCAATCACCAAGTGACAAAAAAGTGGCTTTCGCCACTCTACAACCAATTACACAATCATCCACGTGGAGTTCCGCGTGGTACAACGTGTTTCATTGTGGTTTTCCTTTCCAAGAAAGAGACCAAGCTCACGAAATGTTACACTGTTCTGACCAAAAGTTTGAACATTCGAGAACCAAACCACCAACCAACAAGCAGCGCGACAATCTCAAGCCAAACGAAATTAGCGAAGAACCAAATTGTCGCCAGACACTAACACCCAACGTGTGTTGCGTGGTACCCAACCAGCGGACGTTTTTTAACCAATCAAGAGAGGAACCAAACACTCTCCCACCAATCAACACGATTCCTTATCTCCACGTCAACACTTCACCTACCACCTCCAGAACCTTCTTGAACCATATTCTCGACCACTTCTCAACCATTTCTTCTCAACCTGTTTCTCAACAGCCTTTCCTTCTTGTTCACTCTCATCCCTCGCCCACTTCTCCCTTTTCCAAATCTATCCGCCATTATTCGCTGACGGAATGACGCTCTAATGTGCCTCATGGTGCCATGCTGTGCTTTCGGTTGAGAACTCCTAAAGCTAACTTTGAATTATTCGTTTCTTTTTGTGACGTCTGACTGTTGGCTGCAGGTACGGTTCAACTATTAATGTCAACTGGGTTCGTCTTACTACCGCAATGCGGATAGCGCACATCGTGTTGCATGTTCCGGTACGTCGCAGCATGTCTCGCTTTTCCGTTTTATGCTTTTATCGAAGTAGACGCTCTTTTCCAACCCATCAGGTCTCGCGCGCTTACTATGCGGTGCACAGAATGGATCTGTAAGGTGAGGATGGTCTTTCGTATTATATGTGCATTCTCTCTTATGTCCTGTGCGCAGATGTGTCTTCCTTGCCGTCACCATGCCACGTTATTGTATGTCAGATGAAATCGCGTACAGGACAGGTAAGTAGTCGTGAGTACCCTCTCGTTTGAATCACTTGCATTGTTGACTCCCTGTTGTGCTGCGTACACTTGGACGTCTGTTAATCTAACATTGGATTTTGCAGATATCCTGGCTAAGCTAACATCAGTTTTTGCAGGTACCATGGCCAAGAGGGAAAAAACGACTTTGCGTTTGTTGTGATTTGATGTTTCTGTTTTTATGTGTGTTTCATAACTCCAGGCTGAAGTGGCTGAAAGGACAGCAATGTTTGTGTCTGTTGAAGTACTTCATGTAGATTATTTGTTGTGCCAGATCATGTTGAAAATGGTGTTAGTGCGAATTGTTAGCTCTGATGTACTAGGATTGTATCTCAAAGTACATATATTCTTCACACATTTTATTGCGTGGGCCAATATGCGTCTCGAAATCTGATTGGTCCACGTGGCATTTTTCGGTCCACTATTCACCTTGACACCTGGCATAAAATATCTGAAAACGAGGCGTTCATGTATCCACGTGGCGAAAGTGGACTTACAGCTGCTTACCTTCAGACAAATGTCACTTCCGATGTCACTTTTAGTTGGGTTGTGTGGTTGCGATATGGCCGTTCTTTTGCAGCTTTGTCGTCACATTTCCGCAACTTCGAAAGTCACCCCGCCCCAGAAGCATTTGACCTAGACTTTTTTCTTGCGAAACCAAAGTTGCGGAAAAGCAACTTTGAAGCTGCTGGCGCGCAACTTTTAGGGCCTCACACTTTCGCGATGTCGGGTATGCATCATGGGTTCTCGTGGACTCGTGCTCGCTGCGCTCGTGGCTCGCATCCTTAGTATGCTCTCATGCACTCCTACCTTCCTGGACTCCGAACCTTGAAACTGCTGTCATCCTTGCTCTTCCACCTTTCTCTCCTTAATTCCTCTCCTCCCTCTTCCCCCCTCCCCCTCTCTTTCCACCCCCCCTGCGCGCCAGCGTGTGCGCCCATGGCGGAGGCTATCCGCGACGTGACCCCGGACTGCCCGTGGGGGCACGAAAGGATAAATGGCAACTGCGCTGGTGTGTGCTCCACCCCTCTCCCTCTTGCGTGCTACGCATGGCTGCATCCTGAATTCTTGCACGCCTGTATCGCCTACCTTCTGAAATCTCCCAGCCTGATCTGTAATTTCCTGCATTCCTGCTGCCACACCTTCTACCTGCCGTACATGTCGCCAGCATCCCTTGAAGCCTAACTATCACTCCTCGTTTCCTGCTTGAGCATCTTCTTACATGACTGCTCATGTCCTCCATGTATGTGTCTGCGTGCGTGTGCTCCTCACGTGGCCACGTGTGTTCTCCTTGTGTCTGCGTGTGTCCTCCACTCCACGTGTTGCCTGCCTGCCTCCAGACAAGTGCAAGTCGCAGAATTGCGACGTCAACACCGCGATGTGCAAGAAGAACGCGACGGGCGATGCAGTCTGCGTGTGCATCGATCCAGAATACGTGCTCGTGACCGACACCTCATGCGCACGTACGATACATCACCCCATATGACTCCCTTTTTCCAACTTTGAGCATTCTGGAAGCGTGCCCCTTCCTTAGCTGGAACATTGTGTTGTTCCTTTGAATATCATTATTCCTTCCCTCCCCTTCCTTTCCACCCCTCTCCACCCCCCTGCCCCTTGCCCCCACTGCGCCACATGGCAGCCTCGTGCGCCACGGAGTGTGCAAGACCCTCAACTCAACTAACCATCGTTCTCTTGCTACCCCTTCCCCATGCCCTTGCAGACCCGTGCACCGTCAAGGTGTGTGGCCTCCATGCCTCATGCGTGAAGGACGTGGGACAGCCGGCCACGTGCGTCTGTGACGGGGGCTTCGCCATGACGCCCGACCAGGGCTGCGTTGGTCAGTCAGTGCTGCTCTGCTGTGCTTCGCATCTGCCTGCTTCAACCTTCTTTACTCTCACCCGCTTCCTTCTGCTCCTTCTGCTCCTTCTGCTCCTTCTGCCCTTTCTGCCCGCTCTCGTCTCACCCACCTCCCTCCCCTCCCCTCCATCTCTGCCCTCCCGTGGCAGACACATGCACGCTTAAGGCCTGTGTGGACGGCACGTGCAGCAAGCTGGAGAATGGGACGGCCGTCTGTTCCTGCGACGCCGAGGCTGGCTTCAAGCTGCAGCTTGACAAGAGGACGTGCAAGTGTACGTGCTCAATATGCTGCGCGCTGCTGCGCTAGGTGCTGCCGCTGGCTTAAACTCGTGTGTTTTGTGCTACTTGCAACTTCTTTATGTGCTGCTGCCTACCTGCTGCGCTGCTGTGTATTTTCTAATTTTGGCTTTCGTCTCTTCCCGACGTCTCTCCCGCCCGCCTTTCAGACGTGTGCGTGATCGCGGATTGTGAGACCAAAGACGCCAATTCCGAGTGTGAGAGGAACCGGGACGAGGCCCACTGTAAATGCAAGCTCAACTTCGAGCTGTTCCAGGGCGTGTGCACTGGTACGCTTCCTCGACTCCATTTTGTGTCTGCCTCGCTTTGTGCATCTGCGTGTCTCCTTTTCGTTGTTTTGTCCACGTTTCTCCGCTCTCTCAAACTGCCTTCTGCTGATTCCCCTCCGCCCCTCCTTGCACATCCCCTCCGCCCCTCCGCCCCTGCCCTTCCAGACACATGCGTGGTGAAGGACTGTGTGGGTGGTGGTGGCACGTGCACCCAGGACGCTGATGGAGTGGCATTCTGCCATTGTGATGCCGTCGCTGGCCTCAAGCTGCAGGATGACGGAAGGACGTGCAAGGGTAAGGGCCGGCTATGGTTGGTGTTGAGTAGGTGCCGATGTGCTTAAAATGCTGTTATGTGCTGCTGTGAGCTCAATCTCGTGAGTGTTGTGCTGATTGCAACAGCTGAGTATGCTGCTGTCCTCGTGTTCTGTGCTGCTGTGTAGCTTCTAACTTTGGCCTCTCGACTCTCCCCCACTTGTCTCCCACCCGCCTTTCAGACGTGTGCGTGATCGCGGATTGTGAGACCAAAGACGCCAATTCCGAGTGTGAGAGGAACCGGGACGAGGCCCACTGTAAATGCAAGCTCAACTTCGAGCTGTTCCAGGGCGTGTGCACTGGTACACTTCCTTGACTCCCTTTGTGTCTGCCTCGGCTGTCTCTGTGCGTGCATCCGCTTGTCTCCTTTTCGTGTTTTTGTCCACGCTTCTCTGCTCTCTCAAACAGCCTTTTGCTGACTCCCCTCCAACCCTCCTTCCAAATCCCCTCCGTCCCTCTGCCCCTGCCCTCCCAGACACGTGCGTGGTGAAGGACTGTGTGGGTGGTGGTGGCACGTGCACCCATGAAGTCAACGGAACGGCAACCTGCCATTGTGACGCCGAAGCTGGCCTCGTGCTGCAGGATGACGGGAGGACGTGCAAGGGTAAGGGCCGGCTATAGTTGGCGTTGAGTAGGTGCCGATGTGCTTAAAATGCTGTTACGATCTGCTGTGGTTCATTCTCGTTTGTGTTGTGCCAACTGCAACAGCTGAGTGTGCTGCTGTCCTGCTGTGCTGTGCTGCTACTTTTTGACGTTGGCGTCTCATCTCTTCCCCACTTGCCTCCCACCGGCCTTTCAGACGTGTGTGTCATCGAGGCCTGTGAGGTCAAGGACGCCAATTCCGAGTGCAAGAGGGTTCGGGACGTGGCCCACTGCGAATGCAAGACCAATTTCGAGCTTTTCGAGGGCGTATGCACTGGTATGCTTCCTGGACTCGCTCACTTTGTGCGTGCCTGGGTCTGTCTCTCTGCGTGCATCTCTGTGTGCACTTTTGTTTTTCCCACGTTTCACCGGTCTCTCGAACTGCTGTTTGCTGACTCCCCTCCAACATCCCTTCCACATCCCCTCCGCCCCTGCCCTCCCAGACACGTGCGTGGTGAAGGATTGTGTGGGTGGTGGTGGCACGTGCACCCATGAAGTCAACGGAACGGCAACCTGCCATTGTGACGGCGACGCTGGCCTCGTGCTGCTGGATGACAAGAGGACGTGCAAAGGTAAGGGTCGTTATAGTTGGTGCTGGCTATGGTAGGTGCCACTGTTTTAAATGCTGTCACGTGCTGTTGGGCTGCACTCATCTGCTCCTCATACTTTGTCATCTTGCCTTTCACCCTCGTTTCTGTTTCACCCTCCTTGCAGATGTGTGCGTTATCAGGAACTGTGAGGGCAGTGACGCCAATTCCGAGTGCAAAAGGAATGGCATTGACACAGACTGTGTCTGCAAGACTGGGTTCCAGATGTTTGAGGGCAAATGCACTGGTATGCTTGCGCGTCCATTTGTGTGTGTCCATCCCTCGCCACGCTCGTATACCTGGTAGCTCTAGGGCTGTGGTATTCACATTTATTGCTCCTTATGCTCCTCAGCCCTTCGTTTGTGTGTGTCTGTGAGCATGTGTGCATTTGCATTTCCTCTTGTGTGTGTTCCTCTGTTCCTGAAGCCACCTTTGCTGCATCCCTGCTGTGACTTCCCTACACCCCTGCCCTTCCAGACACATGTGTTGTGAAGGGCTGTGGTGTGAACGGCAAGTGCCAGAAGGAAATCACCACTGGAGTGGCGTCCTGTGTTTGCGACTTGGGTTTCACGCTGCAGGCTGATGGCACCACGTGCAAAGGTAGGTGCTCAGCATGGCGTTTCCTACTGTCCAGTTGCTTAGGGCCAACCCATCTTGCTCTGTTTGAACCTTAACCCTCAGCCCCAATCTAACCCTTCTTTTTCGAGCCCTTTCCTCAACCCTTTCCTCCAAACCCCTACCCTCAGATAACTGCGAGATCCTGAGCTGCAGTGGTCCCAAGGAGCACTGCGCCAAGAGCGCCACCACCGGCGAGGCATACTGCAAGTGCGATGACTACTTCCACAGGGCAGCTGGCGGCTTTTGCCAGGGTACGTGTCCTGCAGCAACTGCTTCGGTCGTGGGCCCATCTTCTCTCGTTCAGCCCGTTTTTTCTCTCTCTCCCTTTCACCTCTTGCACCAGCCACTCCTGCTGTTGACATGTTGCAGCCTGCTGTTTTTTTGTGGCGAAGGGAGGGGAGGGTGGGGAGGGCAGGGAGAGAGAGGGTGAGGAGGGGAGGGTGGGGAGAGGGGGATCATTTTCTTCCAGGTTGTGCATCAGCCTGAACTGTTCTCTCCTTCTACTCCCTCCCCAGATTGGTGCCCCTTCAAGAACTGCAACACCTCCGTCTCCACGTGCGTGAGGAGGGTGGACGGGATTCCGTTCTGCATTTGCAACCCGGGTGTCCCGCTGAATACCAAGCTCTGCGTTGGTAAGAAGCTACTTATTCTTCGTTCCAACTATATCCCTGGTACAACAGTATCTTCCTCTCCCTCCCACCCAAACGACCCCACCCCACCATCCCTGTCATCCTCTTTCTCACCCACCCTATCCCCTAAAACTTCTCCCCAGTCGTTCTTCCACCCCTTCACCTTGTCCCTTGCATACCGTTCCCTTGTTTGTCTCTTCCCTCATCAGGCAAGGTACCTTCAGCATAGCCGTGAGGAGCATCTGCTCTGGTAATGGAACACCCTCATCCCTGCTGGAGTGCCTCAATAAAGGAGGATGAGGAGGAGGGGTTTGACCCTTGTGTGGCCCTGCCTTTATGAGATAAGATTTCCATGCACCGGGGCACAAGGCATCAGCTGAATTTTCCAGGGCACAATGTGTCCTGGTGTGTGTTGGTTGTGCTATCATTTGTTTTTGTTTTGTTTTATGCCAATAGAGGTTGGTTACATTTCAAGAAGGGAACGTACCCCTCAGAGTACATGGCTAGCTTGAACTGTCTTTGTATTGCACTAGTAAGGTATCAATAGTAACTGTTTGCTTTGTAATTGCTTTGAAGAGTGGAGTTCATAATTGTAGACCCAAAATGAGCAGCATCATTTTAGTTGCTGATTTCCCAGCACCAGAATTATTACGGGTGCAATGGAACGAGATAGCGAGGATTGCACTAGGTGTCAAACGAGTACAAGGTACGAGTGAAGGCATGAGCAAATACTTATACCGTATACTTTCGGCTATACGACACGGGGAACCAGGCCCTCAGATATCAGCGTAAAACACGCTGATTACGCTGATTTTGTAGCTCAGATTTTCGTTTTCCCTAGAAATTCAGCATATGCTTCAATTTTGCACTGAAATTTCAGTATAACCTATTTTGTCACACTGACCATTTTGCATGTTGCTGTACAAGTCGCACTGACGAATCAGTATAGTGTACCGAATCACACTGATTCGGACATGATAGGGTATGGGTCTACAGGGGGTGTTCAAACCAGGATTCCCGCAACAAGAGTTCGCGGCCCTCTCGGGTGGGTTCCCGCCTGCGGGAAGACACAGCCCAAACAACTACGCCAGCAACACCACTCTGAATGTGCCCTGAAAGTTTTAACTCTGAAAATTCAGTTTACCTTGATAATTCACACCGAAAAATCAGCTTAAAATTTGGCCCCAAGGCTGATTTGGACACCACTTTGGACACTGCACACTGATCGATCAGCATACCCTGAAACCAATCTGAGGGCCTGCGGGGAACTCTCTACAAATGCTTGAAAATATGCTAGGGTGGACATTATGGCGGCATCAAAATTTTAAAACCCGGGGTACACCTATTTGTATATTTACATTAATGGATTTACCATGTACTGTCTCGTTACAGAGCGGACAACACGCGGCGAACTAAAATGCACGAGCGCGGATTGAACGCCTCTATTCACGCACCGCACATCATCTTGACGGAACCTGTCAAAGTTATATATCATATTGCATAGTTTAGCATGTAGTGTCATTCCTGCCAATTCTAACATGATATTATGAGAAGTTAGGTCTTTAGGACCGTTCTTTAAGAGGGCCCTGTGAAAACAAAGAACGAGAATGAAATGACTATGAACGAAGTGAGTACAAATAGTAAACCCTAATAGGGTGTACCCCCTATGGGATACCCCACTATAGCCTACAGAAACAAGTAAGCTATAAGTTCTGACACACCCCCATAGGCAAAGTGGGGGAGAACAAGGGGTCACAAGACCAGTCAAGCAAAGCAAAGCAAAGCTCAGGGTGGATCACAAAATCACCACGCATTCCGAGCACAAGTTCAAAGGCCACAAGGCCAGTTCACATGCAAGATCATATATAGAGATATACAAGAGCAAGAGTATATATATGCGAAAGTACAAGCAAGGTCAAGAGGAGAGCAAGTGAGGCAAGACAGGCACAAGACCCAACTGCGTGCAGCAACGCTGATGATCACAAGGCGCAAGTGCCTTGGTGAAGACATCAGCAGTGTTGGCCTCAGAGGCCACGTACGCAAGTCGCAGCTGTCCACGCTGCTGTAGCTCACGAGCAAGAAAGTAGCGAAGAGCAATGTGCTTCGTTCTGTGCTCCAGTCGCTGTTCTCGACACAAGGCCAGCATGGCCTTGTTGTCTACGTACAGGACCGGAGGAGAACGAGGCTGCTCTCCAAGGTCGGTCAGCAGGTAGGTGAGCCAGCGTAACTCCTGTTCAGCCATAGCCCCAGCGTAGATCTCAGCCTCACAACTAGAGCCAAGAACAGAAGACGAGCGGGTAGCCCGCCACGAGACAGAGCCGGAACCAAGGCTGAAGGTGTAACCCTGTGACGACCGCTGCGCAGCCTGGTCGTCAGCCCAAGAAGCGCCTGCGTGCCCAGTGAGGACCACTGGACTGCGCCCTCCAAGCACTAGCCCCATGCCCGACGTACTGCACAAGTAGCGCAACACCCTCTTCGCTGCAGCCATGTGCTCTGGTCGGTGTCTCCCAGGAGCAACAAAGCGTGCGAGAATGCTAAGAGGGTATGCGAGGTCAGGTCGTGTGCAGGTCATCAGGTACATGAGGCAGCCAACAAGCTCTGCAAACGGGCCACTCGCCTCTACGGACTCATCCGAAGGCAGAGCTGAGAGCGAGTGGCGAGTAGGCAGAGGAGTGGCCTGAGGCGAGGAGTACGTGAAGCCGAAGCGCTGAAGGACCTGCTGCACCATGTGTGACTGAGTCAGGGTAATGGTGCGGCGTGCTCTGTCCCGGGTGATCTGCAAGCCAAGGTAGCTGCGCAGTTCACCCAGGTCAGTGCACGTGTGTCTCTTCTGCAGCTCGGACTTCACGTAGGCGAGTCCAGCAGTGTCAGCTGTGGCAAAGACCAAGTCGTCGACGTACACGAGAATGTAGAACAGCGGCAGAGAGGTGTCGGTGCGCAGAAACAGCGACGGGTCGGCAGTGGAAGGAGCAAACCCAAGTGCCGCGAGCGTAGTCCTCAGTGTGTCGTGCCACTCACGTGGCGCCTGGCGGAGACCGTAGACTGGACGCCGGAGACTCCACTGGGTACCAGGAGGGAAAGACCCAGTGAAGCCAGGTGGGCGACGCAGCCAGATCTCCTCGTGCAGGCTGCCCTGCAAGAAAGCTGTGCTGAAGTCGAGAGAGTGCAGCTCGTAGTCACGGTGAGCAGCAACGTGTAGCAGAACCCGAAGAGTGGTCATCTTCGGGGTGGGGGAGAAGGTCTGAAAGTAGTCAACCCCCTGCCGCTGACTGAAGCCACGAGCCACGTAACGCGCCTTGAAGACAGGCGGAGAACCCGGCGGCCGCTTCACCCTGAAAATCCACATGCCACTGACGATGTTCGCCCCAGGAGGGGGAACAGCGTCAACGTAGGTGCCTGTGGACTTCCAGGAAGCCATCTCTGCATCCATAGCTGCCTGCCACTGAGAGGAGTAGGGACCCTCTATCGCCTCCGCGTAAGAGCGCGGAGTCGGGATGTCTGGTGCATCCGGGTCTCCCTCAGGGGCTAGCAGTACAGACGCGAGACGAGGTGAAGCGGCGGCCAGACACTGGAACTCCTCCTGCCTGTCCTCAAGGACGTCCGTGCCAAGGGCACACTCACCCCCGACGGACGGAGGACAGGCGGACTCAGACTCAGTGACAAGACGAGCAGCGTAGTCTAGACGACAGCGCGCAGCAAAGTCGACAAGCTCAGTGACAAGGGCAGACGCAGCAGACGACTCGAAGGAGGGGTCAGTGACAGCAGTAGCCAGGAGACGCGTGACAGTAGGACCGGCAGCACGAAGAGCGTCCGACTCCAGGTCGGCAAGAGCAGGAAGAGAGGAAGCAGGAGGAGAAGGCAAAGGGGCACGCAGAGGAGCAGTGGACGGACGCAGTGACATCCGGTGCGTGCCAGGGACAGGAGGAGGACGCTGACGCGACCCGCGACCACTAGCGCGCTCAGTACGAACAGGCGACACAGGACGAGACGCAGGCTCACGACGCTCAGTAAGACCTCCAGTCGGACCAGCGTAGGGAGAAGGAGCAGGCAAAGGGGAGGCAGGCTGTAGCTGTGGCTGTGACCGGACAGGCTGCGGACCCTCTAAGGGAGGAGGAGGAGGTGTAAGACCAAGAATCTGCTGCAGGAGCGGAACGAAGTACGGTCAGGGCCGCGCGGCGACGCTAGAAACATCAGGAACAGCACCAGCAGCCCCGGCAGGAGCACCCACTCCAGCAGCACCTCCAGCAGCACCACCAGAAGCTCCAGAACCTCCAGCCGCAGCACCAGGAGCACTGTCAGTTGGGCCGCCAACGGCAGGCTCAGCGCCAACACCCTCAGCAGGACCAGCTCCAGGAGAACTCTCAGACTCAGCAGCTCCAGCACCCACAGTACGAGCGCCGGCGGGGCGCGCAGCAGCAGTACCCTCTGCAGTCCAAGAACCACCAGCACTTGTAGCACGCCTCCAGCGCCCGGCAAACCACTCACGCAGCTCCTGTGGGGAGAGTGGCTCCCGGCGAGACGAAGCACCCCCAGGCACAGCACCTCCAGGCTCAGCACCCCTAGACACAGCACCCCTAGGCACGGCACCCCCAGGCTCAGCACCCCCAGGCTCAGCACCCCCAGGCTCAGCACCCCCAGGCTCGGCACCTCCAGGCTCAGCACCCCCAGGCACAGCACCCCCAGGCTCAGCACCCCCAGGCTTAGCCCCCCCAGACTCGGCACCTCCAGGCTCAGCACCCCTAGACTCCGCACCCCCAGGCTCAGCTCCCGCAGCAGCACCAGAGTCACCAGTGACCTCGACAGGCTCGACCGCGTCTACCTGGGACACACCTGAAGGGGCAGGACCCTGAGGGGGGAGGGGGACTACCGGGGGGGGACCTGGTACCAAGAAGAGCGGGGGTGGGGGGAGGGACGGAGTGCGGTAGGGGAAGAGGCGGTAGTAGGGTACCGACTCGTCGAACGTGACGTCCTGGGAGGACAGAACACGTCGAGAGGTGGGGTGGTAAAACTGCCACCCAGGAGCGTCGGGGGGGAACCCCAGGAAGACGCAGGGAGAAGCACGAGGGGACAGCTTGTCCGCAGACAGGTCGCGAACAAACGCCCGAGATCCCCAGACCCGGAACGCCGACGCATCGCCAACCTTCCCCGTCCACAGCAGGGCTGGGGAGGTCTCCGGTCGAGAGACCCTGGGGTGGAGGTTGATCTGGTGCGCAGCGTACCTGACCGCAAACGGCCACAGAAAATGGGGAGCAGCCGCATGCATCATGGACGTACGAGCGACGTCCATGACCATGCCAATG